TGTCCAGACCCCCATGAAGGTACCTGGACTGTGCTTTACCCATGTGTGGCTCTGCAGCATCTGGAATAACAACTGGGAATGCTGCAGCTTTCCTAAGAGGGTTTCCTTGTTCTAAAAAGGGATTTGTTCACAGAGGTTGTGGATGCCCCAGGGAGGCTGTGGCTGACCCAACCCTGGCAGTGTTCACAGCCAGGTTGACTAAAGCCTTGAGCAACCTGCTCTGGTGGGAGATGTCCCTGCCCAGGGCAGGGGGTTGGGGCTGGATCATCTCTAAGCTCCATTCCAACCCTTTAACAGACTACTGCAAAGCTCAGCATATCAAAATGCTGAGAAATAATGCTGTGCATACAAATTCCTCTGTGAAAAGTGGGATGAGGAAAAATCATTGCTGCACTGATTTCCCAAATTCCCTTGTGGCTGGACACAGCATCCAGGGGCAGTGAAATGGCCATTTCACTATTATCCAAGGGATAGTGACCACTTAAAAACCACCAAAATACATCACATAAGACACACAAAACTCTTGGGCAAGTGCAGGAGTTGGATTAGAGCTGCTCTTCCACAGCTTCATCCTCTCTCATTACGGCTCAGACTCACCTCACTCCCAGTTTGTAACAGTTGGAAACATCTCCCTACACCCCACCCCTAACTCTTGTGCCACTCTAGCATGTGTCCCTGCTCCCAGAAGGTGTGGAGACTTGAAGGAACAAGTTCATACCTAGCAAACTTATGTTGACTCAAGACGAGCACGTTGCCTCTGATCTCTGCTACAATCTTGCTCTTATCCTCAGGCCGACCATGTTCTAGGACATGCTGGATAACATAGTTCCCATACTGGTCCTGTTTGAGAGACAGCAGAAAGGGGTGATAAGTAAGGACAGGAACACAGCAAACTAGCTCCCCATGTGCATTCAGACTTAGAAACTCCACTGAAGGTTAATTAAACATCTACCGTACAAATCATGTCAATACTTGGACAAAACCAAGTGGGACCAGGAGGTAAAATGCTGCATTTTTGTAGCAATTAAAAAACTCAAAACAGTGGCCCTGCACATGATATGTCAATATTGTGTTTATTTCCAGTTTCTTTGCTTTCTCCAGGTTCAAACATAAGGCATCACAGTTCTGGCTACAGGGCACTGCCTTCAAGTATATTAATGAGCCAAATCTGGATGTATTCAGGCCATAAGATATGTATTTTCCAGTTCAGAGGTATGGCCTGATGTCTCACTCCATGCCCAACCCCTTCCCTTCCCTAAGTACATGAGCACACAGCACAGGCTTCACTTGCTGCTGTATCCATTGTGCCCCACTAGCAGAATCCATGGAAAATCCCAGTAAAGAAGGTCCTCAGAAGGACTGCACGGAAGAGGAAAGGCAGCCAGGAAGGTGTGTGCATAGAACCAACTCATTTTAAGAGTGCAAATATCTTGGTAGCTCCTTTTGCTAGGAGCAATCAGCTCCTAGCACTGATTCCCTTCAGCTCTCACTGGCACTGTGACTTCTGGAGTGAGACACCAGGACATGCACCCACTTGGGATCCTCCTCAAAAAGGAAGGTGACTCCACCTCTGGTACCTGCTGGACATGTGCACATGGCCAAAGCAGTTAGTGCTGATGCATTTCTTGCCTGCTGAGCTCCAAACTGAGGATGGGAATCCCCAAGTTCCTCCAGCCCCAGCAGCAGCACAGCTGTGGCCCCACACAGGCTGCAGGAGCTTCCCTAGCACAAAGCAGTGAGAAACACAACCCAGCACCTTTCCCACAGCATTCCCCCTTCCCACACTGACCTGGACCAGCTGCTCAGTGTGTTGGTGAAGCTCCTCCAAGATGGGAAGGGTCTGCTCTGGAAGACAGTGCTCCAGGATCCTCTGGATCACACGGCAGCCATAGGGGTGTGTGGACAATGCAAAAACCTGTGTCCAACAAAGGCAAAGCACAGGCACAAACACTTCCATTAATCCTTGGGAATCCTAGAAACCTCATGGAATTAAATGCACACAGGGTGGCTTTTCCTGGGCATGGCAGGCAATGCCAGCTCCAAATGGCACCAGCTGCAACTGGAAACATCTGCTCAATGCCAGCTGATCACAGGCACATCCTATCCCTTCCTGTGCTTCCACTTCCCCATCCATGAAACAGAAAACTAATGGAAAAGCCTCTTGATTCATAAAAAAAGAACACTGGGACAACCAAGCATTATTAGCAGCTCTGTTGTTGTTCTGAGCTAATTCCAGCAGAGTTTTCCAGCACCCATCCATGAAACAGGAAACCAATGGAAAAGCCTCTTGATTCATAAAAAAAGAACACTGGGACAACCAAGCATTATTAGCAGCTCTGTTGTTGTTCTGAGCTAATTCCAGCAGAGTTTTCCAGCCACGTTATTTTAAGCCATGTAAGTAATGGTATGAGCCAGAGAAGTTAAAAATGCACAGCAAAGGATTTTCCTCAACTATTGGATTTGTTTAAAAGCCTTAATGGTGCTTAGGAGAAGTGACAACAAAGAATCTTTCTCATTTCTAAGGGATTAGCAAATCTGTGGGTAAGAACATGACACATTGTATTACTGCTGCTCAGTTTTCTGTCTCGAGCACAAAGTGCTGTTTGGTTGCTTCAAATTACCAACAGCAGCAAATCTGAGCTGAGGTTGAAGTGATAATCTGAACATTTTTAATAACTATTGAGCAAACCAGGCAGGAAAGAGCACTTGGAGTGCAATGAACTGCAGGAGAAAAAGCTGGAGGTGATAAGTTTAATCTTCCATGCGAAGGTTCAGATGAAACTGGGACAACTGGTCAGGGAAATGTCAGTGCATCAACCAAGCTCCCAGAGGTCTTTCTGCCTTCCCAAACTCCCTCTGGAAGGTGTAAAGCTAAACTCTACCCAGCAAATCTGCTGAGCTAGTTTCCAGCTAGAATCCTGCTTGCTTTGACCCAGCCAAGCCAGTTCTCAACTTTCCCAGCTGACCCAGGACTCAGAACTGCTGGTTCCTGCTCCAACAGCCCTTGGCTGTCCTCACATCCCTGTGGCAAATCCCTCAGTGCTTCAAAGTCCTTCTGCAAAGCCAATTAAGTTGTGACTGGGAACACCCAAACCAGCACTACTGCAATGGGAGAGGAGCTGACTGCAGGCAGAGTAAAGCCAACTGCACAACTCATATCCAGAGCACCAATTCAGGAGAGGATAGCAGGGAAAAATCCAGGAGAATCAAGCACAACTGCCCTTGTTGTGGAGGCCTGAAGCAGCTCCCTATGCAGACAGGCTGAGAAAGTTGGGGCTGTTCAGCCTGGAGAAGAGAAGGTTGTGTGGAGACCTCAGAGCAACCTGCCAGGAGCTGAAGGGGCTCCAGAGAAGCCAGAGAGGGTCTCTTCAATAGGAACTGTAGTGATAGGACAAAGAATAGTGGGAATGAATTGAATGAATAGAAATTTAGATTGAATATTAGGAAGAAATTTTTTCCTGTGAGGTGCTGAGACACTGGCCCAGGTTGCCCAGGGAGGCTGTGGCTGCCCCAAACCTGGCAGTGCTAAAGCCTTGGGCAACCTGCTCTGGTGGGAGGTGTCCCTGCCCAGGGCAGGGGTTGGGGCTGAGTGACCTCTAAGCTCCATTCCAACCCCTTACCATCCTATGAAACTATACAAAGAAACTCATGTTTCTCCCCTGGTCTGAGGCCCTAGGGAGTCAGCATTCCCCACCCTCACACATAGGGATCATAACCAAAGTTTGCTGCAGCAGCACAAAACTCTGCTCACCACCCTCACTGGGAAGATGCATTAGAGACTTGTTTTCCCTCCATCAGTCAAAAATACTCCATATTCCAGGAAAACAGACTTTAGCAAAGATGCTTTGCTGTGATATACCTGCACAGAAATGGTAACAAAGACATGACCAAAGTGTCTCTGGGCTCCCTCACGTGGCTGCTTCAACCTGCCAACTGACACTTGCAAAAATTCTAAATTCAAGAGAGTTCAGCAAGTCACAGCCACTCTCAGGGTGTTCTCAGCACAAACACAGAGTGAGGAGCTGGACAAGGACTCACCTGTCCCTTAAAGGCATCGATAATGAACTGCAGGGACTGAGGCTGCACACACTCAATGCACTTCTGCACCACATGGTTCCCATTCTGGTCTTTCACACACTTGAGGACGTGTCCATCCAGCTCCCGAACCATCTCGTTCTACAGGAGGAGAGAAGACAAACAGAAAGCACCACCAGCATTCCCAGCTGAGAAATGCAGAGCTGCCACTGCTAAACCCAACAATGATGACAGGTATGAAGGAAGCACCTTCCTTCAGGTGGTGTATTTCCACCTTCAGAAGGTGTATCTCCAACTGGGAGCTCTCCAGTGGCCAAGCTCTGGGATGAAGTGAGCTGGGCTACAGAAACCACCAGGAAAAATCCTTGTACAGCATCCTACTAGCAACCTGGGCTAGGGGAAGGTTCCCTGCCCATGGCAAGGGGTGGAATGAGAAAAGCTTTAAGGTCCCTTCCAACCCAAACTAATTTGGGATGCTGTGAAGATGATCACTCCTTCCACGAATCATGAGTGTCCCCTTCCAAGTGAATTCTAACTGATCCACAACTTTTCTATGCATCCTCCATTTCCCCCTCTCAAACAGAAAATGCCCAAACTTCACAAACATTTTGGATATCAATATGTCCCTAAAACAGGGTCAGCTCTGGGGTCAGAACTCACTGGTGTTTTACACAGGTGAGAACTAAGGAATTGAGCAGATAGTCTAGATATGAATAATGCACAGGCTGAAAGCTTCAGGCAGAAACAGAGAATGACAGTGTCGCAGACTTTAATGCTCTAGCAAAAATGGATGAGCTCAGTTTTCTAACCCAAGCAGTTTGGGAGCACTGAGTACTCAAAAATGCCAGTCTGGAGGAAGAGAGCAAATCTTTGGAGCTTGGGCACCACCCTGCTGACACACTGAGGTTTAGCTCAGGCTCAGCCTGAAGGGAAGGAGCAATCCTAAAGCCTCTTTCAGGTTTTTAATTGAATAACCTCCACTGAGATTCCTGGATGCCAATTCCCAACCCCTTCATGAACCAGCCTGCCCAGCCTATTTTTCATTGCAATTCATTGTTCATAAACCCCTTGAGGAAGTGCTTCATTAATGAGCTCTGAGTGGGACTCTGGCTATCAGCCACATCTCTCCAATGCCACAACTAGGAGCTTCTCATCCATCTCCCGGCAGGAAAGCAGAATATTGACCCACATAGCAAAGCTGTGATAGCTCAGTGAATATTAAAGGCAAAACTCTGGCACTGCTTCCTTCAAGGGATTTAAAAATAGCTTTTAATTCACCATCATTCTCAGTTTCCTCTACATACATAATCTGCTTCCAGGAAATTAACAGAGAACCAGCATCGTGGCCAGGTGGAACCAGGAGATGACAACAAGACCCAAGGACAGTGGCATGTACTCATCATGCACTTGAGACATAACAAACATGCCAGAAAGCAGAGCAAGGGAACACCAGGCACAAGAGGAACAGAAGGGAGAAGGTCAGGAACGTTAAACATCAAGAAGAAAGTTAAAATTGAAACTTACAATTACCTGCTGGTCTGGGGGAATAAACTCCAGGGCCTTCTGGATCACCCTGCAGCCATACATCTGCAGAGCCAGGGACAGCACGTGCCCACGGATGCGTTCTGCCAAGGCCAACTTCTGCTCCAGGCTGCCAAACTGGGAAGAGGAAAACCAGTCACTACAAGCTCAAAACCCAGCAAAGCTACTCTCACACACTGAGGTGTGAAACAAACCATGTGCCCATTAGGAAGGAGGAAAATAGCAACCACACCTCAAGGGATGTGAACAGGCACAGGCCAGACGTGTTCTGTGTCCAAGACACATGAAACACTCCAGGGAGGTTGTGGCTACCCCAATCCTGGCAGTGTTCAAAGCCAGGTTGGATAAAGCCTTGAGCAACTTGCTCTGGTGGGAGGCCAGGGAGCCACCTGGACACCTGGAGCCACCAGGGTGACATGTGCCAGGTCACTCACTCTGGACAGGGTTGATTAAGGGCATGGCTCCAAGCCTGTCAGAGCTCAGGGAGTGTTTGGCCAATGCTCTCAGGCAAAGGGTGGATTGTTGGGGTGCCCCATACAGGGCAGGAGTTGGACTGGTGATCCTTGTGGGTTCCTTTCAGCTCAGGAGATTCTGTGATGCTACCATTCTAAATTACTGGGCAGAAGCACCACGAACACTTGGTACAGAAGCACCAGACCAGTGCCAAGAGAGAGAGCTGGGAGTGTCTGCCCAACCTTCTGGTATGAAACACAACACTTATCCAGTGGATGTTGCTTACTGGAAGAGTTTCTCTCTCATTCCTAAACACATAAGCACTGGCAGCTGAGCACAGCATCTCTGAAAAGTCTTGTTGGACCTACATCTCATAGAATCCCAGACAGGTCTGGGCTGGAAGGGCCCTTAAAGCTCATCTCATTCCAACCCCTGCCATGGGCAGGGACACCTTCCCCTAGCAGCTTACATCTCCTGGATATGCTGCTACTTATTCCTACAGCTTTGGCATCTCACAGCAAACTGTTACTTTTCAGCTGAATCTTTATGATTCCACACCTCAGCCACCCCAGCAGGGCCGCCACGTCAGGATGTCTGCACCAGCCTGTAGGGAGTAAATGATGTCAGTGTTGACAGTTATCCATGGGTTTAGCCCAAGAACAGGTTTCTAGGAGCTCATCCAACCCCTCAGGACAGCAGTTGGACTAGCAGAGGAATGCAGACTTACTTCAAAGAACTTCTGGATGACATAGTTCCCAAACACATCCACCATGAGCTGATAAGCTGCCTGGAGGATCTCGTTGAACACCAGCTGACGCTCTGCCGGAGTGGCACGTTCCAGTTTCAGCTGAATGAACCTGAAAAATTGGACTGCAGTGATGCCACTGGCACATATTTCATCCAAACCTTTCCCAAAGCCTGACACATGTTCCAGAAACCACCCTGAAAAATCCCATTAGGACATGAAGATGAAGCACTCATTGCATTAACCATGAGGGTCCTCCTCCAAGTTAACCAGCCAAACGTAGGGAATTTTACTTGCAAAGCTCTCACAAACCAAACCTTTCCAACACAGTTGCTCTATGTAGCAATCTGAAGCCTCAGGGTGGTCACAGCCATGAGGTCCATGACCACATGTCACTGTTGGTATCCTAAAATCTCCTCATTCAAAGCAAAGCAGATCTCAATGGAATAATGCAGCAAGGTCTCACATTCATATGGATCTTTAGGATGAGTTAAGCTGTGCCAGTGGGACTAGAAGGAAACCACAAGGCAGGCAGGTTCCTCTCTAGAGGAGGAACTCCTGCTGTCACCACTTGTACACAGTCTTTGACAGGGACACAGAATCACAGGACAGGTCAGACTGGAAGGGACCACAATAGGTCATTGGTCCCTTTTCATACCTATTCCCTGTTCTGCCTCTGCTTTGGACTGGGGTAGAGTTCACTTTCTTCCCAGTGGCTACTATGGGGCTGTGTTTGGGAATTGTGCAGGGCACAGGGTTGATAATGGAGATATTTTTGTTACTGCTGAGCAGAGCTCACACAGAGCCAAGGCCTTTGCTGCTTCCCATCCTGCCATGCTTACAAAGGAAGTTGGGGGTGCATGGGAGATTGGGAGGAGACACAGCTGGGACAGGTGACCCAAACTGACCAAAGAGATATTCCATACCATAGGACATCATGCTCAGTATATAAAGTGGGAGAAAGAAGGAGGAAAAGGGGAACATTTAGAGTGATGCTGTTTGTAACCATTATGCATGATGGGCCGTGCTCTCCTGGAGGTGCCAAACACCTCCTGCCTGTGGGAAGCAGGGAATGAATTCTTGGTTCTGTTTTGCTTGTGTATCCT